GGGAAGGGGAAGAAAAATAAGAACCAAGATACTCATGTAATGGTACAAGATCCCAATGATGAGTGTAACTGTATTTTATACCAAAAATGTACCAATAAACTTAATGGGGGAAAAAAGTAACATTCAATCAATTTAATTCCCTTTCTAAAATATAGTTCATACTTGAAAATACATTTAATCACTGTATTCATTCATGATTTTTATAAAGTGAACAATTTGTGTTAACTGTAGTCTTCTATTTTAGATTATATTCATATTCATATTCACCACTAGGTGTCGGTAAAAACCCATGGCAAAGTTAACTTGTCACCAGCTTCATACATAATTTCATGATCATTAGAGAGCTTGATGGGGAAAGTTCAAAAATATCTTGTATCTCTTGGAGACTCCAGACTCCCATTGAATATTTTATCTCGCCCTGGAGTTATCAACTAGCTGTATGGTGTTGCCAGATCCTTCAAATGCTGGTTTTAGAATGGACTTCAACAGTCATAGACCCATCCTTCTCTCCAATTTAGGTTCCTTAACAGGTGATCATTTAGTCTTTCTTTAATCATTCTGAAGATAAGCCTTTCACTTTATGAGCTACTCATAAAGGTGATGATTCTGTTTTATTTAGTTTTGGCTTCCTAGGCTGGACCAATGAAAATGCTTAGTCAATTATACTGCTGGACAGTTGTCACTAGGAATTTCTTGTATACTGAATCAAAAGCAGTCCCATTTATAACATGTGGTTATTAGTCACAACCATGAAGACCTGATTATGGTGGAGGGAGACAGAATCATTTCATAACCACCTCAGCCTAATCATAGACCCCAATAAGTTTCTCCTTTTCCCCCAAGTTTCTTCCAATGAAAAATCACCATTCTTTCAATTTTCTTCATATAGCATAATGTTAAAGCTTCCCCCTCTCCATCTTAGTAACTTCAAATTCCTATTTGGTCAAAGTACCTCATTTGTATCCTAGAATTTGGTATACTGCTATAGATAATAATCTAATTTAGTGAGGAGTATTATGGGACTAGTATCTCTGGACATCACCAGCTCACTTGCTCCAAATTCAGATATCTAGAAACCACATTCTCCAGAACATAGAGGAAAGGTCAAAATAACTTTCAAGTAGTCACCATGTCACAAAGTCCACACACTTCACAGGGGGCCCTCATAGCCTATTCTAAGGTGTTGCTAACCAATTTTGCTAATTCTTAACCCCATAACATGTTAAAAATGACACAAGTATGAGGTGAGAAGGACTGCTAAGAGAAGACTCATACAGCTAACATTTATAAAAGAAGAGGCAAGAAAAATACAAGAAAAGAGATAACTCAAAAAGTATGGCAATCTGGACAAAAATTGAATATTTTTCAACAGGTGCTAACTATACCATTACATGAAATATACCAGTACAGAAATTGTGTTTGGAGGGAATACTTTTATAGTGGTTCAGTAAGGACCTCTGTCTTCCCATGAAACCAATGAGAGAAGAGGCAAAAATTGGCCAGATCAGCATTTTATAAACTAGAAACTATAAGACTTGTAACAATGGGGAGCATTTATTAATGGAAAATGGTCAAATCTCAGTAAAACAGTAACCTTCATGGCATTTTAACTTCCCTTGTTTCTCAGCTCCACAACAGCCTTGAAAACAAGCAGACTCAGAACCGCAATAACTGAGAGCCACCAGTCCAGTGGCTACGAAAAGGAGCAGAACAGGCTCAGTACTCCGTAAAATGCCACATTCCACAAACAGTTGTCACTATTTGACTATATGGCAATTCCCTGAAAAAGCCACTTGTAGGACTTATCTTTATTTGGCTTGATTCCAAGCTTGCTCATT